CGTACTAATGTCTTCGCTACTGCATAACACCTCCCCTTTTTTGAAGATTCGAAGATTAGCTTCTGATTTAAAAAAATTATCTGTAAGTTGAAATTCTCCAACATTTCCTCCCCCACGAAATATGTTGGATCCTCATATCTCCAAAATACAATTAGTATTACTTTATTTAGGACATATTTCTCGTATTGAACGCAGAATCTAATAAAAATGAATAGATGATGATGAACGATATTCGATTTTAGGTTATCGGAATTCGGCTTTTCTGAAATATCTCCATCAAATTCATTAGGATTTTCACTAGAGGATATTAGATAACTAGGAGAATCGGCATCTAATAAAATTGCATTAGATTTTTGATCACTATCTGAATCGACCGACTTATTTTTCTCATCTTTATACGAAATTTCATCAGAATTATGGGCATCGTTACGCGAACCCATATTATAGGCTTCTGTCTCCCCATGATTTCGAATCACGTTTGGCGCAATTTGGTTAACTGTACTGTTCCAGTTATTTTCTGGATATGCGTTCTTCCAGTTTTCTTGGCCAACATCACGCAAACTGTAGTTCTGTTCTGACTTAAGTTTGTCTTCAGATATGGGCGGACTTAATGGTGTTTCATTTGATTCTGGACTCCGGGGGTTGTCCGTGGAACCTTCTTTTTCTTGCTCATCTGATACTGTCACAGTTTCATGTACATTAGGCAAGATATTGTCTTGCTCTGAACCGGCCAACTTACCAATTTTGCGTTTCCCGTCAGATATAAAGGGAATTGAACCCTCAACTTGGCGTTCTTCTGAGACGGCCATTTTCGCACCATTATCTGCATTATAAATAATTTCTTTATTACCTGAGACGTTTTGCTTAGTGAAAAATTTGTCCAAAAATGTTTCAAATAGTTTCTGCTGGAAGCTTAACATTAGCTGATGCTGCTGTATTATTAACTGCAACTGTTCTTGAGAAATTGACATTTTTTCAATGCAAATAATAATAATAATAAATCCAAAAAAGCACCGGCAAATATTATGTATTATTTAATTCCAAAATGACGTCACCGACTGCTGTATTTCTTTTGCCAGAATCACGTCCCGATTCTCGTATTTACCGAAATCCCCGTCGCCAATTGTTATGACTTGACCTAGCCGTCGCCAATTTGTTATGAATTTGACCTAGGCGGTAGCCAATTGTTATGACTTGATCAAGGTCGTCGCTGGTTCGTTATGACCTTACGAATTCAACAAGGACGTAATTCGCGTAAATTGTCCACCAATGGAATACGACTTCTACGACCTTCACACTGACAATGACGTTCGATTAGTATGAGTAATCTAGCGTCCTTATTGGTCCTTATCTGCCTAACCCGTCCACTTGAGTCCAAAACACCAATAGCAGCCTCGACAATACGAATCATTTATTTCAAGCATACTTTGTTTATATATCAGACAGACAGGCCACATCATACCATAAAATAGAAAATAATATTTGTACAAAACCAGGCCAAATGAGGCTGTAAGCGTGGGAGACAATAATCAACAAAACTGAGTATAACATAGGGACAGTAAATCATATAGTAATAATCAATAGGTCAAAATAAAGCTAGTAATGAGATAAATATAGACATAGATAATCCAGTTACTGAATAGTTATACCATAGGAATATAAATAGATTAATAGTCTAATAAGAGGTCCCGTAAGTTATCAGTACTTACTTTTTTCCTAGTATGTAACACCTTCCCTTTTTTGAAGCATCATGGATAATAACTATCCTTGGGATTTATTTTTATACGATTAGGTTTCCGCCTGATGCTCTGCGACCGCCTTGGGAGTGTTGTACACGTCTCCTTTTTATTCAGGTTCTTTTTAATTTCATTATCCGACTGGGTTAATATATTTGATGGTATATCATGCTTTCTGTCACTTCCTATCTCCCACTCCTGTCTGGTCGGTTGTATCTGGTTTGCATGTCGTACCAATATCTTTTGTCCAACTTTCACTTCATAAATAGCTTTCCCTTTTCTTCGGACTATGATGCCAAACTTCCAGGTTGGCTTTACTAACTGGAAATCTCTTGCCATTACTGCTTGTCCCACATTAAACCTTCTGGGTAAGGCACCATGCCTTTTGTTGAATTGCAGTTCCATTCGTTTATTTTTGCGGAGACTGATTTCAAGTTTTGGCTTCATTAGTTCCATAGGTATTCTAATCTTTCTTCCAAAAATTACTTCTGCCGAACTTTCTTGATTATTTGTTGCTGGGTTGGGCGTAGCGCGGTAGCTTAGTAAAAATCGCTGAATTATATCTTCTATTTCTCCTTCCCCTTCGGCTTTCTTAGTTACATGAACCATGGGTAGATCTCTAGGACTATTTGTGCACTTCATCATGCATATTTCACTCAATGGTACATCCCATAGGTTTAGTTTATCTATCCAATCTCTTTGAATAAGGTCTAAGTCATGCTTGTTCGTTAAATAGCAATTCCCTGTGAAGTAGTTATCTCGAAATTCAACAGAGCATTTTATAATTCCAACAAGCATTAAAATATCTCCGGATGCATTTCGTGCAGTATGCTCAGTAGGTAATACTTGTGGACAACCAATTAAATTCCATGTTCGTTTAGAGATCAATGTGATATCTGACGCTGTATCCAATTGTAATCGGACATGGACACCATTAATCCATAATTCCACATACTTTCTTTTATCTGCCATGCTTAGGGCTCGTGTAGAATTTATACTGTTAATATATTTGTTTTGAAACTGGTGAGGACGCTTCGTCGGCTTCAATCTCAAATTTTCTCTAGTCCGGCAAACTGATTCTTTATGACCAAGTTTATTGCACACCGTGCATCTATGATTTCTAAATCTGCAAAATCTTGAACAGTGCCACGCGCCGCAATACCAACATTTCGTTGAAGGTTTAGGAATTTTCGTGTGGTGTTTATAGCTTTCGGCCCTTTTTTGTCGTTGACTCGTCTTAACAGCATAGACAGAATGATTAGATGGTGCAGCACTTTTGGTTTCTAACATAGCCGAATCCTGTTTCAAGTTTATTAATCGTTGACACTCACTAGTAACAGTTTGTAGCGTCATTTCTTCGTCATGTTCCATACGAGATAATAACTTCATGCGAACATCAGCATCGCTGGGAGATAAATAATAAGCATTTAAATTGATCACTGGTTAATACATTTAATTTAAATCGTTCCGCTTGTAAATTTACTCTTCCGGCATACGTAGTATAATCCTCATCAGCTTCTCTAGTCAGTTGTAGACAATTATACCGGATACGAAATAGACATCTGTTCACAAAACATTTTATTTAAAATGTTAACAGTTGCATCGAAACTAATCTCTCGTGGATGTTTAGGCAGGATATGGTTTTTATACTTCTGATGCTCATTAGGACCAAGCTTCTGTAAGAGCAACCGGACTTTCTTTGCGTCCTCCATAGCAGCAAATTCTACTCGAAAAATATCTTCAATTCTGCCAAACCAGGCTTCAAAAGTGTGACCGCTGTCTGCATCGAAAATGAATTCTGGAATTGGATTAAGATATGACTCTATGATTTTATATTCTGGAATATCTTGTTGAATAGACGTTTTCGCCAAAAGTGCTTCCATGAGTTGTTGTTGAGATGCTAACATCTGCTGCTGTATTATTAACTGCAACTGTTCTGGAGATATTGACATTTTTTTTAATGCGAATAATAATAATAAATCCAAAAAAACACCGGCAATTATTATGGAGTATTTAATTCCAAAATAACGTCACCGACTGCTGTATTTCTTTTGCTAGAATCCCCGTCGCCAATTTGTTATGTATTTGACCTAGACTGTAGTTAATTGTTATGACTTGATCAAGGTCGTCGCTGATTCGTTATGACCTTACGAATTCAACAAGGACGTAATTCGCGTAAATTGTCGACCAATGGAATACGACTTCTACGACCTTCACACTGTGACAATGACCTTCAATTGATATGAGTAATCTAGCGTCCTTATTGGTCCTTATCCGCCTAACCTGTCCACTTGAGTCCAAAACACCAATAGCAGCTGCTGTGATGCGAATCGTTTATTTCAAACATACTTTGTCTATATACCAAACAGGCAGACCACATCATACCATAAAATAGAAAATAATATTTGTACAAAACCAGGCCAAATGAGGCTGTAAGCGTGGGAGACAGTACTCAATAAACCGAGTATAATTTAGGAACAATAAATCGTATAATAATAATCAATAGGTCAAAATAAAGCTAGTAATAAGATGAATATAGACATAGATAATCCAGTTACTGAATAGTTATACCATAGGAATATAAATAGATTAATAGTCTAATAAGAGGTCCCGTAAGTTATCAGTACTTACTTTTTTCCTAATATATAACATTCATGTTTTCCACATCGTATTTATCCAAATCATTTAGACAATTAAATGGATGTTTTAATATTATATTATGTAATTTAAATAAACATTTTATGATCATAAAATCATGACTAAAGGCAGATGATTAGAGGTAAATCGAAATGTATCCAGATTTTTATACTTGCTGTCCCCCTCGGTCTTTGATTAATCTATGGAGATTATGCTGGTACACTGAAGGGGGGTTGTAAGTAGCTTAGGTCTGAAATTCTGTTAGCTTTTATTTAATCTGACATTCTTGATGGAGTGGAACTCAACCAAATTATTGTTATTCTTATCATTACCATAATAAATATTATTAATGGCTTCACTCAATATCATATTTCTAGTACAATATAGAATTCTCAGCACAAGGTATCTCAACAAGTTAATTTTACAAAAAAGAAAAAGAAAGTGATAACTGAATACAAATATTCTGCTGTCAGTTGTTTGTCTTAGAAACCAGTCATAAGAATGTTCTTCAGCCAAATTATGACATTCTTAAGGATTGAATAAGTTTTCCCAAACTAAAATACTCTAATGAATGTTAAGGGATAGTTCTTGTAGATCTTGGAAAACGATTAGTTTCAAATATAGAATGTTTAAAACCTTATGCGTTCAGCGCATTTCTGTCTAACATTTTATTTCGCTACTCAAAAATAGGGCGAAATAACTATCTCTCATTACAAATAAAGATATTAATGATATAAATAGTTGTAATTAGCTTATTTTCATGAATCTATCATTGATCAAAAACTAGTGAAGCATCTTTTCTGTATCTTATTCATATGAATTGTCACATATCCTACGACAGATAGGACTAAATCATATTCAGTTTATTTGATCCCAGTTTGTCCCTAAACTAAAGATGGCAAAAGTGAATTTTGACCTGTTGATGTGATTTTATGACCAAATAGTCCAGTTTAATTGCAAGTGATATGAATCTAAGCTTTTAAATGCATAATATCCCACGGTATCTAATCATTTTAATGCTGATACTTTTCTTTTTTCCAGACCAATCTGAGTCATGAATAGATCACAGCTTGCTGTTCGCAATTTAAATTTAATTGGTGGAAATCAACATGGGCTGACTGATTTATGTGGGCTGTCATTCAGTATTTGATGTATGTCTGTGATTTAAGAATGTGCTGATTTTCCCCAATCATTTCACGCATACTGTCCTTGATCAATCAGGTTGATGGTTGTATTTTTCCGTCTAGATGAATTTTCACTAAACGCGTTTTCTTTGCATATATGTGTCGTGAGAATATCATGAGTTTTAAATCACTGAACAGGTCACAAACCAAATTATTGAACTCAGCCGTTTTAGACCTAGTAAACCATTTATATGCTTGGACGAATATCGCGTAAATCCTCAAAGATAATGTAATGTCATTAGTAATTTAAGATAATTCACGTGATATGCTGCTTTTGTTTATTGCCTAACAATCTCTCCATATTGATATCCACTCCTTGAACAAGTTAGTTGCGGACTAAAAAGGTAGAGGAGTAAAGTTGTTTAGCAAGCGCACGTTACTTATGAGTATCATCAAGTGTGAATTTAAGTGATTACGGTTTGAATTTGAATGAAATAGAATTTCCAAAGACTGACAGGTTCTGTTGGCTTATTAAAAGATAATGAAAACCGATATTTGAACTCGTTTTTTTATAGTCACCTTTCGAAATCTAAAATACTACGACTGTGTTAACCTCAAGGAAACGTAGTGTCAGATTTTCCCACCGATTAATCTAGTTGGTTAACTTTGAACTTCATAACCTATTCATTGATGTAAATCTGATTTCCTTAATTTTTGATCATTACATTAAGATCTGATCGACCCAGTTTGGATGGTAGTAATGTTCTTTGACTAATGTTGTTATTCGTGACTTTAATGCATTCTTACAGAATTAGGTCTTCACCATGTTTGCGAGATGAATGTGTTATATCCCCTGGTGAATTATGAATGGTAACTCTAAGGTCTATTTATCGACCAATGTATTATGCGTATTTCCTATTGTACAATTGTTACGTAACTAAACTATTCATATTTGTGTTTCTCTTATCATGAGCTTTATTTTGATCTTTGATTTATTATCATACGATTCTTGAGTTATACTCAGTTATTGATTACTTTGGTTTGTATAAAAACCCATTATGTTTGTAAATAATGATTCATACCACTGAGGCTGTTATTGGTGTTTTGGACTTAATTGGCTGGGCTAGGCAGATCGCAGGACCGGTTAGCACTCAAGACTGCTCGTACGGCTTCGTGTCGCTGTTCCAATCGAGAATTCGCTCTCCCTAATTGGCGGTCTCTTCAAGTCACACATCAACTACCCATCCACTCGGCCACAAGATATAACAGAATGGATGCGACAATACCAAACTAGTGTTAGTGTGTAAATCAAATATTTAAATAAGGATTTATTTGGATACACAATGATGTAGTTTAAAACGAATAAACGGTCAATTTGACATTCACTTTTATTCACCTACATTAGTTTATCATTCTTAAAGCATTTCTTCACACAATGATTTAACTCACGGCTAAGAAATATTTCAACACAATTATATGGTCAAATATTTTATCCACCTACAGTGGCGGGTAGATGTCAAACTATTTAGACTATCTCGGAATAAATATCGTTTATCCGCAAAAGACTGAATTGAGTGTTTCACTGAATTGTCATTGGAAAGTTTTACTTGAGGTTTCAGTTGTAGCTAAGTGATATCGTGAAAATTGTAATTCAAAACTGTGAAATATTATTGCTTTTTTTAAGGTAATTGGAAAACTACTACCGATATAAACCTTTCCAAAAATAGTGATCTATACTTCTTTGAAATGAACGATAGAATCAGAAAATTTACTATAGTATTGCAGGTATTTAGGTGAACTCTTTTACATTAAATAAAGGTAAACATTTAGAAGCGTGCTTATTTGTCAACTTCCCCATAATTTCGAATTTACTTTTCTCATCAATATAGGTCGATCGCATCACTTTTACTCACCCGGTGTCAGTGAGATAGATGAAGAAAATGTATATCCACTGTTAACTGGAGGATTAAATCGAATGACATTTTTCTCAACAACTTCATCAAATTCATCTTTAGCCTCAGGATTATCAGACACAAATTTTATTAATTTAGAGCAAGCAGCAGCTACTGGTAGCAGTAGTAGTACAACTAATCGTTTTGGATTTTCTGACGGATTAATAAATCATGAACATACTGATAATCATAGACAACATTTAAATACGGTCCAGACTAACAGTTCTCATAATTTTTCAAGATTTATATATAATCCATTAAATGTTTACGATGCTGGCGAGAATTTACCAGCAGTTGCAAATTCTGAACGTTACAGGCAAACATATAGTCTTAATTTTATACAAAATACTAGTGATTCTATTAGTAATGATTCTGGAGTATCTCCATACTGTTCAATTGTATCATTCCAAAATAATATGAATGGACAAAATTTCTGTATTGACTGCCGTTATAATCATGTAATGATAAGTGGACAAATGTGTACATGTAGATGTCATAATGAGTCAAAAGAAGTCACAACAATACCAATACTAAATTTCAGTACCAATACGAGGGGTGCTCAATTTTTCAATCGACCCTTATCGTCTGATAACTATCCGACACCAACTAAATATTCGTGGAACAGCACCTCATCATTATCAGAACCAATGGCACACCAAGTTCTCCCTCCACTTACAAATGCATTAACTGAACAATGTCATCATAATTCCGTTAATAATCATAATACATTCCGCTATTTTGGTGTATATTCTGCATTTACAACCGATTACTCTCCAAGAGGATACGATTCATCGAATGGCTTATCTTCTCCATCAATGCTAGAATTAACCGGTGATGTAAGAACAGTAAATTTTGTTTCTCACGATCAACCTCCATTAAGAACATGACGATAATTCATTTTTCATTCTTTATTTTAAAATAGTCTAGTTTTATTTCCTACAGATGTCAAACATGAAGTAGTGCGTACAGAGAAATCATATAATAAAACATGGGAAATAAATGAACATTTAAAATTCCAAAAAGCAGAAATTGGATGGTATTTATGTTGAATGAAGAAATGAATAAAATCTTTACAAAATTCGGAGACTAATTAATTACATTAAGTAACACAGCGTTACTTCTGGTCCAACCCCTTATTTATGTATTCTTTTCGTTTGTACTTATTTTGATATTGCTCTTTCGATAAAATCATTTAGTACTTCTATGCAAAAATATTAAAAATATTGTTTTCCAATCTCGGTCTCAATGCTTTAGGTATTTTGTTTTTTAAAATGAAAATTATTGTTTTATTCATTTATCCAATTTTGGTCTTTATATTAAAAAAGGAGCGTTTTTTTATAAAATCAAAATATTTACATATTCTCAACTTCATTTACTAGAAAGCAATTATACTCGATCTCATTTATAAATGATCTCCGGTTACAACTGTAATGAACTTTGTCTTTTTCAGATATGAAAATTTGTAATCAAATGTGCATCAATAATTAATTATTTTTCAGATGGAAATCCCTTTGAAACTTTTGTTTTCTATTTGGGTTCGGGGTTGTAAGTAGCGGGACTATCGGTTGATGAGTTTGCTTTGGAGATAGCGTCATAAATCATTGTAGTTAACAGATCTGAGAATAAAATCAGGTAGTTGTTCGGTATTTCCGATTTTCACTGATGATTGAATTGAGACAATTGTTATGACTTTTAGCCTGTTAATTATGACGTGTCTAAATCACCAATTAAAACACGATTTATATGACCTTGGCACTGCCAAACCAACGACGTGTTAACCAATACGAGCAACGTGGAGTCGACTCTGAGTCCGTACTAGTTATTATTGCCGAGTCCTGTCCGTTTGAGTCCAGAATACAATCTCAGCTTCTACTGCATGACCCGTATATTTCAAACATACTTAGTTTATATACAGGTAAACCAGACCACAACACTTTATAAAATAAAAAAATAACAGTTACGCTAGATCAGGCAAAAAAGTTGTCTGCAATTGTGAGAGACTGTAACTAATTGATCGGGAATAACTGATCAGTAGTAAATCGCATAATAGTGGTCATTAGGTCAAATAAAAGCTTATGATAAAGGTAATATAAATATATACTAGCTGGTTTCTTAACAGTTATATATATATATATAATGAATGTCTGAATTCATCATTTCAAATAAATTGTATCAAGCTACATTTGCAGCTTGACAATATTGGGAATGACAATTGTTGACTCTATAAATAGTTTTTGAATGTACGCCAATTTACTGATATGATCAAGTTTATACAAATGGAGAGAGAATAACTCGAAAATATGAGGTTCCGATGTTTTTAAGGACATGATGCATAAATTATTTTGACATTTGTCGCAGAATTGTTGCTGTAAAGTATCAGATACATTCACAATACTAAGTCAGAGTTAACATTATTTCCAAGTGTAGTATCAAAAACAAAATGCACATAGTAATGGCGATCGATCTTGCAAACATGGAGTTGTTTTTTGATAATTAGTGCATGGAAAACATAAATACACTTAGTGCATAACTATAACATTGGGCGTTTTGAAATGAGAGTCATGTTAAATGGTTTATTTACTAGTGATGCGATTTGGAGTCACACAAAACTTTCTTATATAGAAATAAATTATGGTCTGTAGATTCTAATTGGTCTACTAATACGTTGAGAAAAGTAAAAAATAGTTAACCTTTTAAAATTTAACCAGCTTTAATCAGTTAACACTGATAATATTTCCGTGGTCAAAAAAAGGTATCGCATCAGTGAGTGATCTATCAAGTGAGCGATTGAGTAGCTGAATCAGTGAGATAGTGTGAGAGTGAGTGACTGGATGAATGTGTGAGTGATTCAGTGAGTGAGTGAGTGAGTGATTGAGTGGATGAATGATTGAGTGAGTGAGTTTGTGAATGATTGAGTAAATGAGCGAATAATAATATTGGAGCGTGTGAATATGAGTAGACATGAATGAGATATTTGTGTTGTAGGAAGCATTGACACTAATGAAAATCACATATGTGAGGTATGTTGACACATACGCATTGTGCAATGAGAACAGCGTGAATTGAAGCCGAAACTCCTACACAAACAACAAGTGAACTAATGAGTCTGCACAATGAGTCGGTCGTTTATTCAACGTCTCATTACCAGCGGTTCCTTCATTGATGTAGTATTGGTGAAATCGACATCATTTGAAGCACACAGATTGTACGAGATCTGTTCATCTGTCTGTGTGTATGATCTGCACTCCTACACAAACAACAATTGAAATAATGAGTCTGCACAATGAGTCGGTCGTTTATTCAACGTCTCATTACCAGCGGTTCCTTCATTGATGTAGTATTGGTGAAATCGACATCATTTGAAGCACACAGATTGTACGAGATCTGTTCATCTGTCTGTGTGTCTGATCTGCACATCTTTGCAACTACTACCAACGTGATTACCAATCATTCACAATGAACAGATATGTGAATGATGTGATTGAGTGAGTGAATCAGTGAGTAAGTGAGTGTGTGAGAGATTGAGTGTGACAGTGAGTGACTGGATGATTGTGTGAGTGATTGATTGAGTGAGTGAGTGAGTGATTGAGTGGATGAATGATTTAGTGAGTGAGTTTGTGAATGATTGAGTAAATGAGCGAATGTTCGAGCGTGTGAATATGAGTAGACATGAATGAGATATTTGTGTTGTAGGAAGCATTGACACTAATGAAAATCACATATGTGAGGTATGTTGACACATACGCATTGTGCAATGAGAACAGCGTGAATTGATGCCAAAACTCCTACACAAACAACAATTGAACTAATGAGTCTGCACAATGAGTTGGTCGTTTATTCAACGTCTCATTACCAGCGGTTCCTTCATTTCTGTAGTATTGGTGAAATCGACATCATTTGAAGCACACAGATTGTACGACACCTGTTCATCTGTCTGTGTGTATGATCTGCACTCCTACACAAACAACAATTGAAATAATGAGTCTGCACAATGAGTCGGTCGTTTATTCAACGTCTCATTACCAGCGGTTCCTTCATTGATGTAGTATTGGTGAAATCGACATCATTTGAAGCACACAGATTGTGCGACACCTGTTCATCTGTCTGTGTGTATGATCTGCACTCCTACACAAACAACAATTGAAATAATGAGTCTGCACAATGAGTCGGTCGTTTATTCAACGTCTCATTACCAGCGGTTCCTTCATTGATGTAGTATTGGTGAAATCGACATCATTTGAAGCACACAGATTGTACGAGATCTGTTCATCTGTCTGTGTGTCTGATCTGCACATCTTTGCAACTACTACCAACGTGATTACCAATCATTCACAATGAACAGATATGTGAATGATGTGATTGAGTGGGTGAATCAGTGAGTGAATGATTGAGCGATTGAGTGTGACAGTGAGTGACTGGATGATTGTGTGAGTGATTGATTGAGTGAGTGAGTGAGTGATTGAGTGGATGAATGATTTAGTGAGTGAGTTTGTGAATGATTGAGTAAATGAGCGAATGTTCGAGCGTGTGAATATGAGTAGACATGAATGAGATATTTGTGTTGTAGGAAGCATTGACACTAATGAAAATCACATATGTGAGGTATGTTGACACATACGCATTGTGCAATGAGAACAGCGTGAATTGAAGCCGAAACTCCTACACAAACAACAAGTGAACTAATGAGTCTGCACAATGAGTCGGTCGTTTATTCAACGTCTCATTACCAGCGGTTCCTTCATTGATGTAGTATTGGTGAAATTGACATCATTCGAAGCACACAGATTGTGCGACACCTGTTCATCTGTCTGTGTGTCTGATCTGCACATCTTTGCAACTACTACCAACATGAATACCAATCATTCACAATGAACAGATATGTGAACGATGTGATTGAGTGGGTGAATCAGTGATTGAATGATTGAGTGATTGAGTGTGACAGTGATTAACTGGATGATTGAGTGAGTGTATAATTGAGGGAGTGAGAGAGTGAGTGAGTGAGTGTGTGAGTGGATGAATGATTGAGTGAGTGAGTTTGTGAATGATTGAGTAAATGAGCGAATGTTCGAGCGTGTGAATATGAGTAGATATGAATGAGATATTTGTGTTGTAGGAAGCATTAACAGTAATGAGAATCACATATGTGAGGTATGTTGACACATACGCATTGTGCAATGAGAACAGCGTGAATTGAAGACGAAACTCCTACACAAACAACAAGTGAACTAATGAGTCTGCACAATGAGTTGGTCGTTTATTCAACGTCTCATTACCAGCGGTTCCTTCATTGATGTAGTATTGGTGAAATCGACATCATTTGAAGCACACAGATTGTACGAGATCTGTTCATCTGTCTGTGTGTCTGATCTGCACATCTTTGCAACTACTACCAACAAGAATACCAATCATTCACAATGAACAGATATGTGAATGATGTGATTGAGTGGGTGAATCAGTGAGTGAATGATTGAGTGATTGAGTGTGGCAATGATAAACTGGATGATTGTGTGAGTGATTGATTTGAGTGAGTGAGTGAGTGATTGAGTGGATGAATGATTGAGTGAGTGAGTTTGTGAATGATTGAGTAATTGAGTTTGTGAATGATTGAGTAAATGAGCGAATGTTCGAGCGTGTGAATATGAGTAGACATGAATGAGATGTTTGTGTTGAAGGAAGCATTGACACTAATGAAAATCACATATGTGTGCTATGTTGACACATACGCATTGTGCAATGAGAACAGCGTGAATTGAAGCCGAAACTCCTACACAAACAACAAGTGAACTAATGAGTCTGCACAATGAGTCGGTCGTTTATTCAACGCCTCATTACCAGCGGTTCCTTCATTGATGTAGTATTGGTGAAATCAACATCATTTGAAGCACAC